TTTCACCTGCATTTATGGCAGGCATTCTCAGAGGTTGTGAAGTCTGTTGGAAATGAGGAAAATTGGGTTTATATATCTGTGGAATGTCCAGGCTGGGAGAAAAACTCTTGTCTGTTGGAGGTTGGTGTGAATGTTTCAGTTGGCCACCTTGATTAGCATCTGATAGCCTAGCAGTCTTTTGGTGTGGCTTGTTAGTGCCTGGGGGAATATTTTGTTGAGAGGTGATTAGCTGTCCCTGATTGTTTCCACTCTGGAGTTTCCCCGTGTTTGAGAGTTAATTTACTGTTATAATTTTAGAGGTTTTTTTAAATACTGATAGCCAGATTTTGTTCATTTTCATGGTTTCTACCTTTCTGTTGAAATTGTCCTCATGCTTATGGATTTCAATGGCTTCTTTGTGTAGTCTGACATGGTGGTTGTTGAAGTGGTTCAGCATTTCTGTGTTCTCAAATAATATGCTGTGTCCAGGTTGGTTCATCAGGTGCTCTGCTATGGCTGACTTCTCTAGTTGAAGTAGTCTGCAGACATCAAGAGATAATGCTTCTAGAACATGGCCATATAGCCCAAAAAACCTACAACAACCCAGTGATTATAGCCTAGGATAGCATAGGGAAGGGTGAACACCTCTGTGGTGTTTGTTTTGCTGTCTGTGTCCCTCCTGTTCAGAAGACCTCACTTTTTGTCCTTTTGGCTTGTTGTGGAAACAAGAACTGGTGATAAAGCTTCAATTGAGACCCCTTTCCCCCATGACAATATTTTCAGGAGTGAATTTACCTTCCTAGGGGTAGGTTTTTTCCTCACTTCCTATTGGCTCACCCTCATTCTTAACTATGAGTCATATGTAAGTTGTACGTTTGTAACTTGGGGACTACCTGCATATACACACACTAGATTCTAAGATGTACATCATTTTAGAGATATTTATACGGGGTGGAAAGTGTGTCTTAGAATTGAGAAATATATACATATATTCCTAGACCAGGATTGGAGAGCCTTGTTCTCAAGGCTTTATCAGGTGCCACGCCCCTTTCCCATGATATCATCTAGGGGTTGCTAACCCTTTCTCTGTTCCCCCCACCTCATTGTAAAAAGTTGGGACACCTTTCCTAAGGCTTAGTTACTGGCAGTAAGATCTTTCACTTTTTTTGGTCTCTTTTTTTTAACCTTGGATTCACCTGAAGGGGTTTCCTCCAAACTCAGAACATGTATCCAAGCTACTAACTATGATATGTACCCCATCTTGGTCCTTAGTCAACTGATCCCAACACAGTGTTTCCATCTTACATAAATTAAGTTTCATTTGGTACACTGATATCCAATTCTTTACTGTTTAAAGCAAGAATGGAACTGTGTGGCCTATGGGACACTTGGAGCAGTATGCACAGTCTCAACCCATCCCTTAATTAAAATGAATGCTTTTAAAATGTCACGGGGTGATTATTGGGGGGGGGGGGAGAGAAACTCCAATCCAAAGCAGGCAGACCACCCCCAAGGTCCCAAAAGTATTGTTACTTCCAGTTCATCATATGGCCATCACATTGGTGCAGTTTTGTAGGGTTTCAGAAGAAGCCGAAATGGTACTGTGAGTCCTAGTAGGCTTCAGAACATATCCAGACTTGGACTAACATTTCCAACACCTTTCTATAATCAATTTAAAAGTAAAATGACAGCTGATTATACTGAGTACAGAGAAAACATTTAAATCCATATTTGTGGATGATTTCACTCTAGTGGTTGTATCTACATAAGAAAAAGCATGGAAGACAAGATGGAACCCAGCAGCACTAGAGCAGAGAGGTTGTAAGCATTTGTTGTATGCTCTATCTGAGTGCTCCCCAGAGTTGACTAGTTGGGCACTCTGGGGACACAATGTTGGGCTAAACAAGCCATTGGTCCAACCTGTTATATTCTTAAGTCATGAGTCAGAACTAATCTACCGACATCACTTTCTAATATTTATTCACAAATATTTCAGGAGATGTCCTTTGGAAAATCCCAGAGTATACATCAATGTACACTTCCTTCATCCACTGTTGTGCATAAATCATACATTATGACCACCAAAACTGTTTTTGTTCTGTTCCATTTCTGGCTGGAAACCAGACTTAAAATGACCTACATCACCTTTACTCAGGAAAATTTGGATCAAGACAATACATGGATGTATCTTCGTTATGAACTGAATTTTTGAGAGTACAGGAGAACAACTTATGTCTAAAGGGTTACAAACAACTGACTCCTACAGTACAGTAGACCCATAGTAAATTTCATTCAAATATTTGTAACTTCTGCTTTCTATGTAGATAGTCCCAATCCCACCATTTAAATTGCCCACCATGGGGTAAGAATCAAGTGTACACATGATGAATCACAAATGCTCCAAATTCACATCCTCTGGTTGAACAAACTAAAATGCATCCATAGAAATTTGATAAGAAAGAGTACCATGTATACTCATGTATAAGTCTACCTCATGAATAAGTCAGGGCAGGTTTTTGATATAGTAAGTCCCCAGTGGCATAGTGGGTTAAAGCACTGAGCTGCTGAACTTGTTGACCGAAAGGTCGCAGGTTCAAATCCAGGGAGCATCGTGAGCACCCGCTGTTAGCCCCAGCTTCTGTCAACCTAGCAGTTCAAAAACATGCAAAGGAAGGAAAATTACCGTCACAAGAAGAAATGAAATTTTGGACAGATGAAATGTAAGAAGGGTGGCTTGAAATGGGTGGAGGGGAGCACTGTGGTGGGAAAAGGGGGGGAAAAATGAGAAAAAAAGGGGGAGAAATGTTAGAGTAAAATAATAAAATAACATGTTAAAGAGGTTGATGTACAAAATGTAATAGAATGTAATAAAGTGATAAATCAATAAAAAATTTAAAAAAAAAATGTGAGTAGATCAATAGGGAAGGTAAAGGCGCTCCATGCAGTCATGCCGGCCACATGACCTAGGAGGTGTCTATGGACAACGCCGTCTCTTCGGCTTAGAAATGGAGATGAGTACCACACCCCATTGTCGGACACGACTGGACTTAATGTTGGGGAAAACCTTTACCTTTTACTAAGTCAATGATAATTCCACATTTAAGTCAAAGGTCATTCTGCAGAGAAGAGAAAGCAGAACTTCCACCTCAAGTGGTCAGTTGTCCCTGGCTACTGCCACTATTTCCTCTCTCAGGTGTCCAGAAGTAGCACCATGTCAGAACCATTCAAGTGGGTTGGCATTTCTTTAAGTTTATCTCAGGACAAAGTTTGTGCCTTTTGCCACTCTACTCTGAGAAGGGGATAGTTCATTTTTAAAAAGGGATAAGGTACAGTGCCCCCACTGACCCGTGCATAAATTGACCCAGTTTTTAAATTTTTGACTGAAATGTCTAGACTTATATATGGGTATATGGGGTAATTGATATCTCTAGTGCAATCTCTGTACAGTTACAGTCTGACCTAGAATAGTATACAAACATGAACTGTCATATTATATCGATTGATAAGCCACAACTCTGAGTAGATCTTAACAATTACATTTCCCTGTGCTTGGAGATTTTAATTACATTGATTCATCCCCATTAATAGAAGCCTTTTGCATTATGGTTTACTTTCATAGTACTAATAGGATAGAACAATTAAAAATTAAGGGGGCAATAGTACTTTGCAGAGACAACAAAAAGTGCCTTTCTCACTGCAATTTGGAGATGCCTTCAAATGACATTTTCATTGTGCAGGCACATAATGAGACCAGGCAAAACTGGTGTGCCAGCCCAAATTAAGAAGAGTCTGATGGAGTTCCAGCTACCATAGAAACATAGCAAGTCTGTGACATGAAACTGAATGCATTTCACGATCAACACGAATACAATTTTCAGGGAATCTGTCTTTGTAGTGCAGTTTGCCTTAGGCAGGAGAATTTCTGCCTAATAAATTATTCATTTCTTTCGATGCTGACACATTTCCTTTTACCACTTGCAAAATGTCACACACAGTCTGGTTTGTAAAGGTGAAACAAGCAGGCAAAATTGCATTGTGAGAATCCAGAGTTTGGGAGGGGCGGGGATGGGGGTGAAACGTGGGTAGGGCAAATCGACTCTCCTTTTGGTGACAAAAAGACCTTTGCAGATTTCTCTTCCTGATGTATTTGGAGACTGGGTCCCAATGACTCTCCCAGTTCATTTCCAGTTTGACAAATGCACATAAATGGTTATGTTGTAATTCCAATAATCAAATGGTGCAAAAGCAGCCATATCCATTAAGCATCGGAGTCGGTCTCATATTAGTGCACTAAATCTTTCTGAGTAACAGGAACAGAGCAGAGGAATAACACAATCCCCTAAAGCACATACACACCGCCACTACTACTAGCATGAGTCGGCTGCAGCAGCCTCAGATTCTTCCATGGTCCAGATGCAGTCGTATCACTTCACCTTCTCTGTACCATCTCCATGACAACCATGTAATTTGGGCGCTATACTGCCGAAGTGATGCTCAAATGTAACAGTGTTATAAAATACAACACAGACTAAATCAGAGTTAAGGAAATCTGTATTGTACTATATTATAACATAAGGTTTAAAAGGGGAAATAAAATGATAAAATGATTTGATGGTATTGCTAATTTTACAGTCTCTGAGCAAAGATTGAGCTACACAATCGTACGATCATTTTCTCCCTACGATTTTCTTCCCATAGTTCATCTATATAAATAATAATCCACATATGCAAATGATTCAAGGGTTGTGAAATCAATGAGATTACCATTGAGCCATATTTTCCACACCCCATGCTCTTCCTCTAGGAGAAACTGGATACACACATATAAGCGTACCAAAGGATGCACATTGGACATGTCTAAAGATAAATCAAATCCAGCTTTAAGCAAATGCATTAAATATTAATGAGAGCTCTAACACTAATAAAATGCCTTACCAAGAACAATATTACATGCCTTGACACAGACAGAGGTGATTGAATACAGGATCAAAAAAAATTGTCTATATTGTTATTTCACTTACCGGAGGTAAAAGCTTCCCCCCCAAAATGCAGTTCCTTTTTCTCAGCAATCCATGTAAAATAATCAGCAGCTACATGTAAGGAGTCATCCTTTCCCCAGTGCCTTCCCAGACTTTCCTTTTATTGTCTTTCCTCGGCACTTGTAACGGGTCACGCCTCCCTAGCTTTCCTTCAGGTGTCAAAAGATTGCTAGGAAGCAGGTTGTAGGAAAGGCAGGAGGAGAGAAAAGAGGAGGGGTGGGAGAAAAGCCTGAAAGGGAAGGTTGAGGATGATGGAGCCTGTATTCACTGAAAGAGCAGGGGGAGACCTGCTGCACAAGGGTTCGGATGAAAACGCGTTCAAAGAGAGTGAACAATTTAATTAGGAGTTACTATAGCAAGCACGAGGAAATGGCTAAGAATATTTAACGTTTTCCTCCAAGATGTGTGGAATGGATCTGCCTTCTGCTAACCAATCAGAAACCTTGAAACTAGAACTCGGAAATTCCTGCCAAACCGGCAAGCTGTCTTTAAGAAAATAGGGTGCATACAAAACAATAAGCTCTTTAAAACTTGCAAGAATATACTTACATGGCTTGTCTGCCCTTCCTCCAAGCCATCTAACTGGAGTGTTGCACAAAGAGCAGCTTTTGGGTGGCTTTTAACTGCTTTTGCTTCCTCTTTTTTAAATAACCTGTATTATTATACTTTTCATCTGTTCTTGTGCAAAGAACATGCCCATTAATTTGTACATATGTATATTCTACATATTTGTATGTTTGCTTTACTTTACACCAGAGCTTTCCAAATTGTGTGCCACAACATATTGGTGTGTTGTCTGAAGTGTGTAGGTGTATCATGCAAATGTTAACAAGAAACCTCTGAAAATATGAAATAAGCAATAAATCATACATATTTTCAAAATATAAAGGAAGGATTTTCATGAGATATGTTGTGTCCCCAAATATTTGATGACTGAGTCAATAACTCTTGACCACACTGACGGATGGTGATGAATTGTGATTTCACTCTGACGACCTGGCCTTGCGTAATTGTATGATTGTATTTTAATGTATTTAATGTATCAATGTATTATGAGGCTGTGATGTTTTATACTATTGTATATGACTCTCCTGTTGTGAACCAGCCTGAGTCCCTCTTCGGAGGTCGAGAAGACCGGGTTATAAAAGCTCTAAATAAATAAATAAATAAATAAAATTTCATTATTACAATTTATATATCTGCCTGTATCTCTTATAAGGGGTTGGTTTAACCTCCAATTTGCTAGTAAAACCAAACTACTGTGTATTGTCAAAGGCTTTCATGGCTGGAATCACTGGGTTGTTGTAGGTTTTTTTGGGCTATATGGCCATGTTCTAGAGGCATTCTCTCCTGACATTTTGCCTGCATCAATGGCAAGCATCCTCAGAGGTAGTGACGACCTTACAACCTCTAAGGATGCTTGCCATAGATGCAGGCGAAACGTCAGGAGAGAATGCCTCTAGAAAATGGCCATATAGCCCAAAAAAACCTACAACAACCCAAACTACTGTGTCGCAAAAGGGTGTCACCAGCATGAAATGTTTGGAAAACTTTACTTTGCATTCAGAGATGATACTGGCACAGAAAGTCCATCAAGGTGTATGTTCTATTATGAATGATTCTTTTTCTATGTATGATATTGTCACTTGATTACAATTTATCGTTTAGTTAGCAAGGAATGCCTGGAACTGAGCAAATAATTCTGAAAATCATTTTTTTTACTTTCTTTTTAGAAAATAACACCTGTCCTATGTCCTATTTTCTCTTGGTTCTACTGGGCAGGATTCTAAGGAATATGATGTGAATTCAGCTGAAGCTTGCTGCTTGTGAATGACCTCCTCTTCAAAATATCAGAGTTTTTATGTCATCAGATTTGCTGAAAAACCTTATGGAGACAAGACTGCCTCTGTACATAACTATTAGCCAGTCTCTAACCTTTCCTTTCAAAGTAAGGGTCTAGAGCAGGTCAGCACAACATGTGACCCCCACAATAAACAGGTGGTCCTGCTCTGATGCCTGTTGTCTCTGCACAGCTGGTGGTATTGGTCATAGATGGTGGGTGATTGAGTCCATTGTTTTAGGTGATGATCACAAAAATGGCTGGAAGGAATTCCCAGGTCAAGGAATGCTGATGAAATGTCACCAAGATCATACCGAGTGGCTTCAGTCTCCTTTAGTTTTATATAAGATATAAAATATAGAAAGATTAAATATAAACACACAAAAAGGGTTCCTCAGATAGTGGGGAACCTGATCCCACAGAGGCCAGGTACCTAGGGGGCGAAGGGGACACATACGCAGGGGGCAAATAGATGTCAAGGGTGACCAGACCCCGTGGAGACCATGGTCTCCCATGATGAAGAAATTTCCTGAATGTTATGGAAAAAAATTAATACAAAGCTCTGACTGTAGGCAGAAATAGAAAGTCTATGTGTATTAAGATATGTAAATGATAATAATTTGTACTTAATGTCAGAATTAACTGATTGATTGAATAAGGTAGATAGGCATATTCAACAAATATTTTCAACACGTCAAAAATATTGGTACCTGATTATATCTGCCATGATTTGCTTTTCTGTTATGTACCATAATCAAAATAAATAGTTTTAACCAAAAAAAAAAATTGCAAAAAAAAGAGAAAGAAATTTCATAAAGGTTTCAGTATCCGTGGGTAGGGCAAACGTAGTTTCTGGGTTAGTGGGTGAAAGATCGGGTTAACAGAGGACAAGGCAACATGGAGAATTAACGTTGAAGGAAAATAAGGGGAAATGTGGTGGTTTGGGAACCTTGGGATTTCTGAGGGGACTGGAAGGTGGTGGAGGGATTTGGGATGACTAGAGGTGGACTAGTTGGGGAAGGAGTGATGCCTGAGTCCCTTCCCGGGGGCTGCAGTGGGCTATGGAGGGCCATGGGTCATTTGGCCCAGGCTGTTGCTGTTCAGCTGAGGAATGTGGAAGTGAGGGGATAAAGGCACGGAGAGGAGAAGAAAGAGGCACAGAAGTACAAGATAATGATGACTTCACTCAATTAAAGGGATAATTCATGTTAGGGGGTCTGAAGAGTCTTTTGGACTGATGCACCAGGGGTTTTTGTATACTTCACTATATCCTCTCCACTTCCTCCCATGTGTCCCTCTTCATTTGACAGCAGCCAGTGAGGCCCCTTCTACACTGCCATACAAAATCCAGATTATCTGCTTTGCACTGGATTATATGGCAATGTAGAAGGGTACTGCGAGACTCCTGTCTTAGCATCCAACTGGATGACATCTATCTCTTTCTCCTGCTTTTCTGTCCATAATACTTTTCTCTCTCGTTTCAACTTTTTCTTAGTAGTTTAAGGGTTGGTATGCAATGGTAATCAAAGCCATGGTATTCTCTGTAGTAACCTACGGATGTGAGAGCTGGACCTTAGGGAAGGCTGAGCGAAAAAAGATAGATGCTTTTGAACTGTGGTGTTGGAGGAAAGTTCTGAGAGTGCCTTGGACTGCGAGAAGATCCAACCGGTCCATCCTCCAGGAAATAAAGCCTGACTGCTCATTGGAGGGAAGGATACTAGAGACAAAGTTGAAATACTTTGGCCACATCATGAGGAGACAGCAAAGCCTAGAGAAGACAATTATGCTGGGGAAATGGAAGGTAAAAGAAAGAGGGGCCGACCAAGGGCAAGATGGATGGATGGCATCCTTGAAGTCACTGGCTTGACTCTGAAGGAGGTGTGGGTGGTGACGGCCGACAGGGAGCTCTGGCGTGGGCTGGTCCATGAGGTCACGAAGAGTCGGAGACGACTGAACGAATGAACAACAACATGCAATGGTATATAGAACTGACATAGAATGGCATTTAGTTGGATTTAGTATATAACATCTAATAGCTTTTTAGTTTTTATGTTTGATTCCTGGCAACACAGTCAAGAGATGCTAACAAGTAACTATAGGTTAATGTAAAATTCATATTCAAAATGTTAAAGTGTCTATTCCAGCACAAAGGGTGGGTTTAGAGAAAAATAATATGTTGCCTGTGACTTCCTATTGACTTCAGTGGACCTGCTTCAAGTGCGTATATTGACCTTATCAGAGAGGCTAGATTTGGTGGCAAACACCGAGTCACCAATGTTATGCCAGCTCTGTGGGTGCAGAGGAGTGGAACTGGCATGCCGCAGCCACCCTAACAACATGGGAGGCTTTCCATGTTGCCCAATCTATAGGGGGAAGCCACGTACATCATACATTCTCCACGCTTCCCTTCATGTGATTGCCCTCCCGGCAAAGTGGGCGATGCGAGGCCTGGGGCACTGGATTCCCAACGCCTCACGGTGAAGCAGACCACTGCCTCCTTTTGCTGCCGACTGTCTGATGAGGTGGTGTGTCTGGTTTCAACAAAGTGTGATTGTAATCTTTTATATTTACAGAAAAGTATACATTTGTGAATTGCTATGATATTTCTATAAAAGGAAGAGAATAGCAATCACACTGTGCTAAAAACCGCAATATACTTGGAGCAGAAATACCAAAATCAACTGGCACTCAGGATCCACTTATGTTTTACCTGTTTCCCTGGGTCTTTTCTAAGTTTGACTAAGTTTAAATCCAACTCTTGAGTCCAGAAAAAGTATAGTATCCATCAAGGTTTAAGAACTAATAAAATGTATGCTATGAAGTCAGTAGTACTAAAATTCTACCCTCTCCTTTTCTAGTTCCTTTCAAGTATATATGAAGGATAATCTCTAATTTTATGCTGCGGTGAAAATTTCTGGATGTTTGCTGGTTATTTCATTCCTAAGTATCTATATCTGCCTGCTGGTGACATTACAGCATTCATTGGTTGTCAAAACAGCAAGCCTGCTTGCAGTTAGGACTTTATCACACCAGCTGGTTGTCTCATTACAACTGACTTAGTGTAGAGTATGAAAACATAATGGTTTCTAAACATTCATTATCACACTTCTTTACATTAGCACAACTGTGCTGCTTTAGCAATCTGTGGTCTAGCAACCTGCCTTCCGCACAGCCTTCGTAACTCTGTCTTCCTATGATATGCCCTACCCAATGTGTTTTCAGGTTTTTTATTATTTTATTTTTACTACAATTTTGAAATTATTGTAATATTACGAAAACAAAATAGAAAAACAACAGCCACCTTAGGAATAGCGAGTGGGAGGAGGGACAGAGATAGAAGAGGATAATCATGTATATTGATGCCATATGCCTCTCTGCATATCAGAACTGCAATAGAAGGGATCTATCTCACAGAACTCAGTAATAGAAAGGAAGTCATATCAATACCCATTGATAAGTTTTACCCATCAATGAAAAGGTGTGCTACCTTAACAAAGCAGCAACAGGATGGATAGGGCTTCGTGTGATAAGTAGCAGCTACATACAATGTATTCTTGCTGAAAC